AGTCGCAATGGATGGCGTCTGGGCTCCGGGTGATTGCGTGGCCACCTGGTCTGGGGAAGGTGACGCGTTTGCGTTTCGCGCCTGTCTCCGCCGCCCCGCTGCTGGCCCGCGCGGGTTGCAGGCCTAGCAGGGCAGGGGGGCCATCGCCTGCGCTTTCCGCGGCCGGAGCGCGCACGCTGCGCGGCGCGGTCGCAGCGTCGCGGGAGGTCACCGCGACGGGGCAGTAAATCTCCCATTGAGCGACCTGTCACTTGTCGTCAACGCCTGCCGCGCACAGCGGGGCTGACAACTTCTCCTCGGGGGGCGGTTGATTCGTCCGCTGGGCTCTCTTGGCTCTAGGCCACATTCATGGCGATGCGCGTTCCCCAGGGGTTGGTCCAAGCGCTGGCGTCGGCGATGACGCCTAATGGGCCCCCTGGCAGTTCGATGCTCGCCAAATAAAATGGCGAGTCGTTTGAAGGTCTCAAACCTGCCCATGAGGGAATTGGCCACCGCGGGAGATGGGGGATGGGGGGGCATGTGTAAATCCAAATGAGCGTCGCAAGGTACTGCTGCATCTAACTACTGCTGACGTGAAGGTGGAAGCACTGCCTGGCGATTGCGCAAAATCTGGCCGTGGTGCCCCAGGGGCCGGGGCAGGCCGAGGTGCCTGCAGTGCCCCGTGGCGACGGCGTCTCCTCTGGCGCGCGCCCCGCTGGAACCGCGCGGGTCGACGCCGTAAGTGTCGGGCCCGTCGGGTCGCGATCTGTCGCGCGAGCCAGCGCCATTGGCTTCGGACCCGTAGGAGCACGATCTGCACCGGCCGAACGGAAATCTGCGCTGACGTCGGCTGGTCCGCGGCGCGCCAGGCAACGCGCCAAATCAGTGTCGGTGTTCTGCATCAGGTGTAGGCGGCATGCGCGGTGCTGAATGCGTCGGCACTGCAGTCGCACAGGCACGTGCACGAAGGCTTCGAGACAGACGCGGCACTCGCTGTCGTCGCCGGTGAACACGGCAACGGAGGGTGGCGCAGATGGTGCTGCAGCCAATGCAAGAGGAGGATGCGGCGCGGGGCTGCTGCTCTCCAGTGGCGGCTGCGTGCTGTAGCGCTCGTCGAGGCGTCGTCGTTGGGCGCAGTCGAAAGCGGCGCGCGCGCTGTGCTCGGATCGGCCGACATTCAAGTCTCGAGGCTGGCGAGCCGCGCGGCCACTCTCCTAGACGGTTGGCTCACATCGACAGGTCTATCTTGGTGGAAGAAGGCCGACCCACGGGGCGACACTGGCGCAGGCGGCGACGCGGGTGCGAGCGCTAATTGCGGCGGCCGTGGGAATTCGATCCCCGTGGCGCACTGATGCTGAGTGGGGCCGTTGAACGCGCGCGCGCCCAGCTCGGCCCCTGCGCGTCGGTCGCCGGAGCAGGAGGCGCAACGGCTTGCGCGCTGGGGCCTCCCAACCAGTTGCGCCCTTGGGCTTGCCCCCGCGGAAATGCCCCCCCGCTCGCGTCCACTTTGGTGGCGTCGGCTGTCGTGGTGCTGGTTCGGCCGCTGGCGCTGCCGGCTCGGCTGGCGGCGCCTGCCCCGCTCCTGTCGATCCGGCGCGCGACGTCGTCGCAGGGCCCGTCGTTTGAGCAGGGGCCTGCGCGCGGCCCATGGTGTCGGCCAACTGCTATAATTGTCGTCGCCGTTCGGCGTCTTGCGGGCTGGGCGATGATTGCGATGATGATGATGATGATGGTGATGGTGATGATGATGATGATAATGATGATGATAATGATGATGATGAAGATGATGATGATGATGATGATGATGGTGGCCCTGTCCCGATCCATCGCGGCCGCTGGCCGCGGCCTACCTGCTGCCGCGAGCCGTTGGGCGGCAGACTTGGAGCGGCGGCTGCCGCCGCCGGTCGCTGCGCAGCCGACGCTGGCGCTGGCCGTCCGCCACTCCAGGGGTCAGCGCTCTGCGCGGGGTCGCTCTCGCCAGGGCCCGCAGTTGTGGGCTGCGGGGCGCCGGCGGTGCCCCGGGCCGCGCGGGCTGCGCGCGCGCCCGTCGAGGGCTGCTGCTCAGGTAGGCGTGGCAGCCCTTGCTGCCCGTGGCTCGCGAGCGGTTTAAATCTTGGTGTTTGGGCGTAGTTGCTGAGATAGAACGCGCGCCCTCGGCTGCGGCGCTGGGGGCAGTCGCGCGCGATGTGCTCTTCTGAGTCGCGCTCGCGGCATCTGATCCGCGCCTGGTCGGGGCCCGCGGGGCTCCTTGACGGCCCGAGACCGCGCAGCTGGTCCTGAACTTCCCTTCCCCTGTGCCTTTGCCCTTCGTGAACCTCGCGAATTTCTCTCGGTGGCAAGTCGGCCAGGAAGGCGCGGTCGCCTTTGCCGCGGCCCTTTCCCCGCCTGGCGACCCCCCGGGCGCGGCGCGGGTTTTCGGCAGTTGAAGCTGCGCCGTCGTGCCCGGGCGCGCCCGCTGGCCCGGAACGCGCGCGCGCCGCGCTGTTCCGCGCGAGCTTCGCGCAGTTCGGGGCGTCTGCGGCTATCTCTTCGCCGAACGAGCAGGCGGCGTCGGCGTCTGCGCCTGCGTCGGCGACTGCTGCTGGGAATGCCTCCTGCGCCGACGGTGCGCGTGCAGGTGGGCTAGGGGCCGCTTCCAGCGCAGCTGGGCCCAAGCCGCCCCAGCTCGATCCTGCTGTAGTGTCATAGACACACGGAACCCGATATTGTGCAGGCGTGCCCGCGCGGGAGGTCTGCCTTTGGGCTGAGTGGACTGCCTTGGCGAAGTTGCTGGACGATCCCTCGATCATCTGCCCAAAGCGTCGCAATTGACCAGATCAGCTGCGATGTGTTGGTCGGGTAAGCCATGTTAAAATGCTGCGTGACCATGGTCAGCTGGATGTTCGACACTCCGTTCGCGCACAGGAGGAGGTGGCCAGCCTGCTGTGCCCTGTTGCGTAAGATGTCGAGACGCGAAAGGGTTGTCGACGCGCGCCTGCTGCAGTTGGTTGAAGTTCGCGAGGCTGAGACTGCTAAGGGCCGTTCCTTGTCGCCCGGTTTGCCCCATTGCTCGGCCAAGCTGTGCATGGGGACAATAATAGGTGCCACTGGGTTGCCGTTGATGTGCCTTCCTTGGATCAGGACAGCTGGCGCCATTCGTCCACGCACTCACGTGCCATGCCGATGAGACGTGACGAGATGTAAGCTGCCTGGCGGGACTCGTCAAGATCCGACTTCGCCACTGACGAAATCATGACCTCCCGCACCAATCGGTGGAAAGGCACTCGAGATGGCTGCTCGGGCCTGCGTGCCGACGCATCACATGTTGTCGCCGCCGCCGCATGCATCCGTGCAGGGCAGGCAGTTCGTCACGGCAAGCATGCCCGCTCCGATGGCCTTCCATCCGGAATGAAAGCCCATCCATAAGTCCACGAGGTGCTGGAGGCCCGGTATCCACAGACGGCGCTGCTCGGACCATGAGCCTCGGAACCGACGTGGATGCTTGCCCTGGATGTGTTCCTCCTCGTCAGCATATTGGGCGTGATTTTCCGTCGTGTGCCTGTGATGCTTTCGGCAGTCGGAGCATCCCACAACATAGTGTTTGATTACTCGTCGTGCGTCGTGTCGTCACTGTGGTGAACGCCACACTTTGCACGATCGTCTGACGAAGTGCGCAACGGGATTTTGTCCTGCCATACTGACATGGATAAATAAAGATGCCGATCGGTCGTGTTCCAAAATGTCGAAAACAGAAAGTCCCAATTACGATTCGGTGTCGATCGGATTGCTGACAACATGGCCCCCAAACCCTCCTCGGACGTCCCACTCTTCCCAGGCAGCTCTTCCCAGGGCTCTCGTAACATAGTCGCGAGAAGTTCGGGGCCTTCTTCTGGTGCCGCTGATGTGACATTGTCATCGGCATTTTTTTTGTACGCGGCTGGATCCGCTCTCGGGATGATTCCCATCGTTGGATGAATGGCGTCGGGTCCGCGAATTGCCCAGACATGCTCTGAGCAAACCAAGGAGGGGGACCGGGCGCCGCTGTCCTTGTAACGCTCGATGTCGTAATCCTGTACGAATTGACGCACGTCGTGTTGTGTACCATTTCCCCCGCTGATTCTGAATGCAACAGGGAGGTTTCCCCTATGACGGAGACGACGTGCACGATGGCGGTGAGCACGGCGATGGTGAACCACAGTGCCGAAGGCGGTGAGCACGATGTACGTGCAGAAGGCGTGGATACGTGGAAGTCGGTGGAGCACGAAAATGAAACGAAGACTCGCGGGCAATCGTGGATAACGGAGCCGTAGATCCGCTGGTGACAAAAAAACATGCAATGTAGGAGGTGGCATGTCTCTGAATACGAATGCAATAAGGCGACTGTTTGGATGAGACGCGAATGGGACGGGTACGCGAAGTGATCGCCTCGCGAGCCCAAGCGTCAGCGGAGCAGACAGGCAGGGAATACGGCAGAGGCTGTAGACGTAATGTTCGAATTACATAACTACATGAGGAGAAGGAGGAGGTGGAGGAGGAAGAAGAGGAGGAGAAGGAGCAGGAACAAACATCTGTTTGGCTGCTCCCATCTCTCGACCTCTTCGCAAGGACCATTCCCCCCCCCAGTTCTCAGACCACTCGATATTTGTTTCCCCCGCCCGCTGTCCCCAAATATCCGATACCTTGCTTTGGGTCCCAAGGGCTTCTGGCCGGCTCCTCACGGTGGATCGTTTCGGCCAACGGCCCCGGACCCTGTAAGAAATCACCCCGACGCCGAAAACGACGACAAGCCTCCGCGTTGCTTTCGTCAATGCGTGTGAGATTGGTGTCCCCGCGCCCGCTGGACTTGTCCAGGGGAGCGTTTTGGGGAGGATTTCGAAGAGCATCCAGCCGTGGCCCCGAATGCGCTGCAGAAGCGCCCCAGGAAAATCGACCTTCGACCCTCGACTCTCGAGCATCCGATCCTCGATCCTCGCCGCTTGACGCTCGACCTGCCGGGCACTGGGCCCATCGAGCCCCACAGGCGTGGCCGACCCGACCACGGCAGCTGGTAGAACAGCGACCAGGCCGCGTCATTTGGGAGGTACAAGCAGCCGCCGCTGGGCAGCGTCGGAGCCCCCGGGAGCGACATCACAAACTGCAGGATGTGCCTCTGCGCCGCCCTCCCTCCTCATTCTCTGCCTCCTCCGCCGCCCTGACGTCCTCCACCTCCAAACTCCAACTCAAATCTTCACCTCCTGTTCCTCCTGCCCCTGCTCATCCTCCTTCTCGTCCTCTCCCTCCGTGCCCTCCTCCCCCTCCTCCTCCTCCTCCTCGCCTTTTTCTCCTCTCCACCTTGAAAATATGGCAGGAGTTTGCTCGCAACTAGGTAAATAGCACTTGGGCCAAACAGCTGCGGCCCATTACTAAGATGCACCGCTGGAGTTCCAAACTACTTTGCGCACCCCGTCGCATGGCCATGTTCCAACACCCCCACCCCGTCGGCCAATTCTGGCCGAATGCAGCGTCGGATGAATAACTTTATACAGCGAGCTGGGTAGGGGGCGATGAAATTGGGTAGTGCGATTGACGACCGCACCTGTGCACCAGAAGCTATAAGACGCACTGTGGCCAACCGAAATGCGTGCAGTAATTGAAGGCGTAGCTGGCGCAGGCGACTATGGTCTGGGCGCGAACGTGCAAGCGCATCCTGACACGCAATACACTCTTTTGACATGTCGCAATCCACCAAATTACGAAGAATGCTGTAAATTTTCTGTCCTGAATGTATACGAGCAACTGGGTCTCAAGTGGTCCTGAGCTCAGGCCTACCAGCCGGAAGGCACGCAACAGTAACTTTCATACTGGTTAAGGTTACGCGCTGTAGCAGGTGTCGGCTCATGTTTTTCCACTGGCGATGTGTTGATTTGTGCCCCGCATGTGCACTGTCAAATCGTCACAGCACGCATCCCTGATCAAAACATCAGCAAATACTCATGTGCTCCTACTTGGGTCATTTTGATGCCTCCTCGTCTCACCTACTCTCGATGTGCCTGGCTTTTCCTAGCCCACGCCTGCTCGCGATGGCAACGGCCGCGCTGGCATCGCTCTTCTACGCAATGCCGCAATCCACGTTGCAATGTTTGAGAACTGTTTGTAGTCCGAACACCACTGATCCACCTTGCACCATTCCGCAATACTCCGGGATTCCAGACGATGGCGCCACGACGCTCTGAGTCGAACCCCGCGACTTCCTCAAATGTGATCCCCATCAAGAACTGCCCATCTACTTGTTGATGCACAAGGCCTCTGGAATTCAGCGCAATCAGCGTCAGCCCACGCCGTTAACTCCTGAGTGCGCTCCTGATACAGATACTTGTATCCACGCCTGCCGTGGTTTTTGGTGATATTTGCCCAGCGTCGCGCGGTTGTCGCGCAAGCTCCTGAACCGAAAACTGCACCTACGAACGGTTTTGCGCAGGATTATGGGCTCGAGCGGCTATATAGCATAATTCCTTGACTTCAGTCTGGATAGGGCTCCTCATAATCGTTTTCATAAGGCTGCTTCTCACCAGGCATCGCACATCTCATTCTGTACTGCTTTGCGCCTGACGTTTTAACATCTATCACAGCACGCCTTCGACCCGCTTCATACCGTAACCGCTGCCGGCGCCATCCCACAATTCAGTTGGGAATCGTAGTTGGCATCGGATATGTTGGTCCTGGTCTGAATCTGCCCGGATTGAAGCTTCGATGTTCTTAGTGGGTCCTCCTTCGGACCAGTCAAGATCAATATGCATGCCCAATGAAATAAAATCGTCTCCGCGAACTGTTACCCAGGTTCGCCGTTTTCAAAGCCAATGTAACGTGCAAAATCCACATCGCAACATTCCCTATTGCTTGCGGCGCCCCGAATGCCGTGCATCGGCTTCAACCGTCTTCCACGCATGCCAGGTGCACGATCTTCTTCGGGTAACCTGATGAAGGTGTTTCTCTTCTCTTGTGCTCGGCCTGAATGCGTGCCCCTTTGACATCGGGAAGCCACAGCTTGAGTCCTGCGTCGCGCCCCCCTCGATCATGCCCTATTTCCGCAGCAATCGCCATGGAGAGCTGCAGTTTCTGAGCTTCCAATGGGGCGGTCACAGCACATGTGTTGTTTTCTGTGGAATTGTACTGAACTTGTCGGGCTACGGGCTGGGCTCGGAACTGGGGATTGGCCCCGTCGCCCTTGTTGGTATCGATCGGTCCGCTGGGATGGTGCGAGCTCATATTTACGATGGGCGATGGGGCAGACTCATATGTAAATCGCAATACGCCATAAGGAACGGATAATCCCGGGAGGGGATCTGTTCCCTTTTGAGACAGGAGAATTCACTTGTGGAGCTCGCAATTGCCAACTCCAATGCTCGCGCAACCATCACACCCGCCCACCCGCAACTTGGTTTGCAAAACGCGGGCGGCGGCGACTGCCATGAGTGTTTGGCGCTGGCTGGTGCAACTCTGCGGCCGCGCCAACCCGCGCATGCGCGCGCGGCGACCAACTAGTTTGGCGCGACCGACGCGGCCGCGGTGGCGCTGACCGCTTGGCACATCCCAGCGGAGACTTCAGTGCGAGTCGGCGACTTGGGCGGGCGCGGTATCATGGCAACGTTGACCACGGTAGACACGATGATGATAGTAACGGTGCTGGTAGCGATGATGCCAGCGGCGACAGCACGGCCAGTGACGGCGCCGCTGCTGAGCACGCGGACGGCGATGACGGCGTCCTCGCGTCGGTGATGCAAGTTTTGGAAGGAGTTCGACATGCGCGCGCGGCTGACGCGCGTGAGTGACCCGCATGGTATTATTTGACGCGGGTACCCCCCCCCCAGCACGCATCCAAGGGCGTGCGAATGATTTCGACATGCGGCGCGAGAAATGTTGGAAAACCAATGGCTAGCGCAAAAAAAAGCTGCACGAGCGCGAATGCAGCCTTGTTGTGAAAACTGTTGTTTTATTACTACTATTGCTACTATTATAAAAAGCACAAGTTTTCGGAACACTTGATTTTGAGCTCTTTGCGGGGCCTGAGGTGCTTTACTGAGTCTGGCATGCGCGCGCGACGGCACGCGCGTGTGCGCTTCGGCCCATATGTTGCAAAGTACTCTTGCGACGGCACGCGCGCAAGGGCGTCCGAACGATTTCGGCATGCGCGCGCGAGAAGCACGTTTAGTAGCATTGGATGAACATGTTGAGAACCGTTTTTTTTATTAATATTTTTTGTTTTTTTTTCTTCAAATTCTCAAGAGCGCGGGCGCATGTTTGTTGTTAGAGAACTCGTGTTACGAAGCAGTGTGTGTACGCTTCCGGGACACTCGAATATGAAACCCTTACTAAGCCAAATGTGTTTGAATAAGTTCGGCATGCGCGCGCGGCGACGCGCGCGTGCGCACTTCTTCTCATGGTTGCAAGGGGTCCTTGAAAACTGATGGTTTTTGAGACACGAGTGCGCGCAAAGGATTTCCTGCAGAGGATGAGGGGGTCGATAAGGGCCTGCCTGGGATGGTACGAGCTCATATCTAGGATGGGCGATGGGGCAGAATCGAATGTACACTGCAATAAATGTGAGCCGTTCGGTCCGGGGGGGGCAGGGGAGGTAGATCCTGATATTCTCCTAGAACGGAGAATTTGCGCTGTAAAATCTAAGGCGGCGACAAGGCCGCGACGAGGCGGCGACGGTGGCTACATAGCCGCCAGGCCGGCCTTCAGGCCCAGACGACGGGCGGCGACGGGGCGGCGACGGCGGCTACATAGCCGCCAGACCGATCTTCAGGGGCAGTTGCTTATTCCAGAAGTAAGAGCCCCTAAGTGCAAGCACTGTTTGGGGAAAAGGGGACGGAGGAGGTGGAGTAGGAGGGAGAAACGGAGAACAGGGAGAGAACGGAGGAGCGAACCAGAGGTGTTGCCTGCAAGATTTGCCAAGAGAGGGGTCCACGGGAGTCCCCTGTCAACAATGGCTGTGCCTCCAGAAGCCTTCTTGGCACGCTCCCAAGACCTTTGTGACCCCCTTGAGACCTCTAAGGACCTGCAGGGACCGCCTCCCCCTCCTTCTCCGCCTCAATATGTTCCTCCGTTCTTCCTTGTAACCCGCCTTTGTCCCTCTCCTGTTCGTTCCCCTCCCCCCATCCTCTTCCTCGTTCTCCTCCGACCCCTGCACGCGCCTGGAATGGCTCATGCTGGCGGCTCCGTCCAACAGCCGCACGGTCTCAAGGTATGCCTCCGCTGCAGAAGTGGAGGCGGGTGAAGAACGACATGAACTGATTGAGAGGAGGACGGGGGCGACAGGGAGGAGATAACTGGCGGAAGGAGAACGATAAGCGGTGAGGGGGGGTAGAATGTGGAGCAATGCGGAGAATGAAGCCTGGGGGAGGTGATCTATGTTTGTGTAGGTATGTATGCATGCATGCACGTATGTACGAATGTAGGTATGTATGCCAGTATGTATGTATGCACGTGTGTACGTACGTACGTCCGTACGCATGCATGTGTGTATGTCTGTATGTATGTATATATGTATGCATGTATGGAGGTGTGTTTATGTATACGTACGTATGTGTGTATGTGTGTATATGTGTATGTATGTATGTATGTATGTATGTATGTATGTATGTATGCATGTACGTATGTACGTATGTACGTATGTACGTATGTACGTATGTACGTATGTACGTATGTACGTGTGTACGTATGTACGTATGTACGTATATACGTACGTATGCATGTATGTAGGTATGTATGTATGGATGCATGTGTGTATGTGTGTATGCATGTATGTAGGTATGTAGGTATGTATGTATGCATGCATGCATGCATGCATGTATGTATGTATGTACGTATGCATGTACGTATGTACGTATGTATGGATGTATGTATGCATGCATGTATGCATGTATGTATGCATGTATTTATATATGCACGCACGCATGTACATATGTATGTATGCATGTATGTGTGGGTATATGTACATGTGTAGGTATGCACGCATGTTTGAATACGTGTATGCACGCATGTGTTTAATTAAGTAAGTAAGTATGTATGTATGTACGTACGTATGTATGTATGTATGTATGTTTGAATGTATGACTATGTTTATATGTATAAACATATTCGCCAGCGTGGGCCCCAGTCAGTAAGGCATTGCACTGTTTATCTGCAAGCTGTGTGGTGCAAGCTGTGTGGTGCAGCGCGGTGCAATCTGCATGGTGCAAGCTATGTGGTGCAAGCTGTGCGATGCAAGCTGTGTGATGCTACTTATGCGGTGCAGTCTAAGCTTTGCAAGCGATGCGGTGCACGCAATGTAATGCAATCTGCCTCGTGCAAACTACACATGTGGTGTAGGCTAGATGGTGCACGCCACAATCTACGTGTTGCCAACAACGCATGCGGTGTAGACTGCGTGGTGCGGCGGCAGCCGGGAACGGGCCGGCTGGGCCCGCCGACGGGCCTTTGACCACCTTGCGCAAGTGTTCTGGTGCTCGGGCCTCTTTGTTTTCGTGGTCGTTCGTCCTTCCCCCCGGGCCTCCCTGGCCTCGTCCGTGGGTGGCCTCCGCGGAGCCTCCCCCCGCCACCCCCTGGGCAGCGGAGCTAACTCTATGTTCGCAATCGCTCGTCCTCGCGCCTTTGGGCTCCCTGGGCCTCCGCCCCTCTGGGCCGCGAAGCCTGCCCCTGGCCCTTCTGGGCCTCCCCCGATGTGTGCGTGTGGTGGGAGGAGGAGGCGGAGGAGGGGGAGGCGGAGACGGAGGAGGCGGAGGAGGCGGATGAGGAGGACCAGGAGGAGGAGGAGGCGGATGAGGAGGACCAGGAGGAGGAGGAGGCGGAGGAGGAGGACGAGGAGGAGGACGAGGACGAGGAGGAAATGAGGGGGGAGGAGGAGGAGGGAGAAAGGACTCCCTGGCCTGCTGCCTGGATGGGCCGCGGAGCCCCCCACAGGGCTCCCCTGGGCCCCGCCCTCGCCCCCTCCCTGGGCCGCGGAGCCCTTTCGTTGTCATTCGTCCTCTCCCCGGGGGCTCCCTGGCCTCCTCCGCTCTGGGCCGCGGGGACCCTCCTGGTCGTTCGCCCCCCCTGGGCCTCCCTGGCCTCTCCGGCCTGTCTGGGCCGCCTCCCTCTTCGGCCGCGGAGCCCGCTCCTGCTCCCCCCTCCCACGCCACCCCCTGGGCCGCGGAAGTCTTTACTTTCGTCGCCGTTCGCCCCCCCCCCCCCCCCCCCCTGGGCCTGGGCCGCGGAGCCCGCCACTGGTCCATCTCGCCCCCGCCCCTCCTCCTCGCTCCTCCTCCTCCTCCTCCTCCTCCTCCTCCTCCTCCTTCTCTTCCTCCTCCGTAGCCATTTTGGCTCAAGCCATTTTGGCTCAAGCCAGCTGTCCTGTGCCCGAGCATCGGGCATTGCACACACCAACTTCAGGACAGCATTGTGTGTGCGAGCCTTTTGTGGCTTCGGTTTTCTTCTCGCATGTCCAAGAATGCTTGGCAGCTTCGCAGCAATGGCGGTGGGGCGTGGTCGACGCAGGCTCCCTGGAGAACAGGGCCGTCGGCGGCCAGGGCTGCGCCATCGCCAGGCCAGTGGGACACTCAGGCTGGCGACGACAGACCCTGGAACTGGTCCCCTTCCCGCCAAGGCTCAGTGTCGTGGTCAGGCCGCCGCTGGCGTTGCGATGCTTGTGGATGCAAGAAGAACCTCGAGGGTTGGATCGCCTGCAAGCACTGCGGCGAGATGCGTGAAGGCTTGCAGGGCTGGCCGAAGCCGGGGACCCACTGGCCTGCCCTCAAGCCTGGGCTGGTGCCTGCTCCTGGCGGCCATGGTGGCGCTGGTGGGCAACCAGGCGGTGGCGGCTCAGCTTCAGCCCAGTTGTCTGAGTCCGAGCTGCGCACGCTCATCGGCCTGTGCGAGAAGTCGGGCGACGGCGAAGCGGCCTCCCGCCACAAGTCCGCGCTCGACAAGCTGCTCCGCACCTCCACGCCCGCCCCCGTCCAGCAGCGCGCGGCCAAGGCCCACAGCAGCGTGCAGTACTGGGAGCGCAAGCTGTCCACGGAGCTCGACAAGCTCACCAAGCTCGAGAGGCAGGTGGAGGAGCAGAAGGTTGCGACGGCAGCTGCTCAGCAGTCCTTGCAGGCGGCCGACGACAACTACAAGGACCTGGTCCGAGAGCTGGCTGGGAACGTGGTCGACCACACCCCCGCAGTGCCGCTCGGCCGCGCCAAGGTGGACGTGTCGGAGCTCATGCAGGGTTCGTGCAATGTGCTGGATATGGTCTCGCTGGACTCGATCTTCCTCTTCGACGAGGGCGAGTACGAGGTGTCCGACGACGACAAGGAGCAAATGGCAGCTCGGCGGGCAGCGCTCAATGAGCAGTTCCGCGAGGCGTGCAACTCCCTCTTCAAAGGGGCGCTGGAGAAGGCCCAGGCTGCCCGCGAGGAGCAGGCCAAGCATGTGCAGCGCCTTGGCAAGAAGAGGAAGGGCGAGGACGGTGCGGCCGTGGCTGGCGGCGGCGCTGGGTCCACCTCGGCGGGTCCGCCCGACGGCGAGGGGGTCAAGATGCCTGGCGACTCCAGCGAGGCACCTCCCGACGTCCGAGCACGTGCTGAGGCCGCCCTGGGCGCCACCAAGTGCCCGTTGCCCCCTCCCGCGTGACTCCTTTGGGAGCGCGGGCAGGGGGGCCCATCTGTCCATGTCTTCCCAGCCCCCACGCTGGGCCAGCTTGAATCGAGCGGAGCTCGAGGATCGCCTGGCCCTATCTATTCGTTCTCTCGATATATATATATATATATATATAGCTTCGCTGTTGTGTTCCGCCAACAGCACCCCAGGCGTCTGCAAACAGGGGGACTTTTGCAAAAAGGGGGCAGGTGTTCTGCCCAATCTTGCGTTTTCCCCTGTCGGCCAGCAGGCTCCTGGTCCCTCAGGTGCGTTTTCTCGACCTGAAAGTTTTGAAGTGTTTAGGGCCCCCCCAGCCCCTGGGGGGGATGCCATCAACCTGAAGATTGTCACTTGCAACTGCACGGCCTGGAGTTCTGCTAAGGATTGGCTCTTGCAGACGGCGGCGCACGTGGTGTTGCTCCAGGAGCACCACTTGCTCGCGCACCAGACCTTAGATGCTCAGCGCTGGGCCCTTAATCACGGTTGGAAATCGATCTTCGGGAGTGCTAAGGCTTCGTCCGACTTAGGTACCTCAGGAGGTGTGGCTATTCTAGCTCGTGCTGGCCTGGGCCTACATTGGCCCCCAGGGGGTTATGAGGTTGAAGACTCTCGTGCTGTTGCAGGGGTTGTTCATGTTGGGGATCTTCCTCCCATCCTGTGCATCTCCTGCTACTTGTCGTGCTGCGAGGGTCTGTCCGACAGGAATTTGGCCCTGCTTTCGAAGATCGGTTCGATGGCCAGCAGCAGCCTCAGCAGTTTCGTGATCGGAGGCGATTTCAATATGGAGCCCTCGCTGCTTGACGACACCAATTTCGTTCAGCAGTTAGAGGGCCAGGTGATCACGGCAGGTGTGTCCACCTGCCTTAGCTCAGCTGGCGGAAAGGTGTATGATTTTTTCGTGGTGTCTGGTGGTTTGTCCAAAGGTATCAGGGAGACGTGGGTCGACAGGTTTGCTCCGACGTCTCCCCACTCGCCCGCGGGGGTCGATTTCCATACCAGGCTTGCCGATCTTAGAGTTTTACAGTTCAGGAAGCCTCCTCCTTTGCCTGTGGAAGTCCCTGTCGGGCCTGGACCAGAGCCCCAGGACTGGGATTCTACGCTGGACTTGGCATATGAAGTCCTCGTTTGCGCCCGTCGGGGTTCTCTGGATGCTCACTACGGGCTCACCGACTTGTATAGGCGATGGGCCAACCTTGCCGAAGCCGAGCTTGCTGATCAACTCCAGGTTAAGCTCCCCCAGACTGGGTGTCGAGGAGAGATTCCCAAGGCCTGGTGGGTTCCTGTCTTGGGGCGTGACCAGCGGCCAGCTCGTCATCCTGAACTTTTTGTTTGTAGATGGCTTTCTCAGAGTTTCAGGGATTGGACCACTTCCTGGAGGTCCTTGCATCACAAATGTTCTGGTGGGATCCCTATCATGAGTGCCAAGAAGGTTCTCGAGTACCCCTCGCCGTTCATTCAGAAGCATATGGGGTCTGGTGCTATCTTCGAGGCCCACCGTAGAGTCTTGGACTTCATTAGGCAGGACAAGGTCACCCTGGAGGCCATAGGCGGCGTGTCCATCGAGTTAGCTGACCTTCTGGACTCGAC